CCTCTTTTTTGCCAGCCTTTCCCTATTTCGTAAGGAGGTGGTTATTAGATTCATGTGAACCACCTGGGCGCGGTCTCTTGTGGCCAGACCTTTCCTCTGGATCCAGAGCACAGAGCCTCTGCTCCCGCTGGCTCCAAGTTGCATCTCCCGGCTGAGGTGCTTGCCACCCTTCACAGGAGAGGGAAGCTGCTCTGCTCCATAAAAGGCAGTTGTGCCCATAGCCCAGCTACAGAATAGGAACCCGAGTTTTCTGTGAGCACCCTACAGTGAGAGGCACCAGTGACATGGAGGCTCCACGGGAAAGAATCAGAAAGTGCCATTTTGCCACAGAACTGTCAGCTGGCCAAAGAACTTACTGGAGGGGCAAAGAGAGCAAAGAGAGAAGTTGAGTCCAGGCCGGAAGCAGGTCAGGCCGCCTCCCCGCCGAGCCTGGGCATCCACAGTTCACCTGGGTTAAGGCCGCTCACTGCCTCCACCGAGAGTGTCTCTGAGCCACGCTGAGCAGGTACGAGGAGTTTACCGTATTTCTGTAGTGTCTTGTGTTCCGGCAGGGAGGCTCCAAGGGTGATGCCTTATTTGCTGACAAACTTCTGGAGGCTTCAGGAAGAAGCTCCGTCCCATTCATGTGCCCTGAGCTGTGCCTACTTTCGTACCCCAAAATAATGCTGTCAGTAGCAATAATTACCCCTTTGTTAATCGCCTTTATGAAATCAGCACAGGCAAAGGATCCGGGCTTCTCCTCCGCGTCTCCCCCTCAGTCCTTGGCCTGCTCTCTGAGCTTCTAAAGATTTAACGCACTACTTCTCTGTTGTGAAAATCCCTCTAGTATTTGAAAGCAGCTCTCATGTGCTTACATTAATTTTTCTTTTCCAGGTTCTACATCTCTATACTCTTCACATACTCCTCATATTTCAGTTCTCAGGTCCTCACTCCTGATAGTCAACAACAAAAACCCTACAGAAACGGCCGCTAAGTCAGGTCTTACATTTCTTACACGTGTTCAGCTATTAATACCTAAAGAAGATGTCAAATGTGCCCCTGTTACATTTCATCTTGTTTACAGTTTATAATTTCAGAAGGTGAGATTGTCTGGAATTACACTTCTATCACCTATAGTATTGATTTCCTCTGTTTCATACCATCTAAAGCTTGATGGGCCATGCATATTTACATGGACTATTAAAGCCACTGTTGCATGCCACCTGCTTTTTTTACTAGTGAGCTCCCTCCAGGTTTTTAATCATTAATGAAAAATTTTGGTGCACGGTTACCAAACTAAGAGAGCTATGGTTAAGCCCACAGTTATCATCTTTTCTAGAAGCTTTATTGAAATTGATCTGTCCATTTCCACTCTTTTCTCCTGATCTGTTTAATTACTAATGAGCTCAGAAAGGGATGTTACGTGAAGTTTCACATTATGGTTAACATTACAAAGATCCTAATGACACCTTATAAGACAGATTCTATAAAACATCTATTCAAGAATTTCACCAGAGGGCCTGGAAGATGGCTCGGTAGAATAAGCACTTGCCTGGCAAGTTCAAGGGCCTGAGTTCAATCCCCGATTCTGGAAAAAAAAAAAAAAAAAAAAATTTCACCGGAAACCTGTAAAACCTATAATTCCTTTACTCTGGGAAACTGAGGCAGAAGGATTGCAAGTTTGAGCCCAGTTTGGACAACTTACTGATTTCCTGCCTCAAAACAAAGCAATTTTTTTTTATTTTTTGAGACAGAGTCTCACTATTAGTTCTTTAGGCTAGCCTTGAACTCACTGTGTAACTCAGGCTGGCCTCAGACCTGAAGAAATTCTTCTGCCAAGGGCTGGGATTACAGGTGTATCTCACCACACCTAGTAATATAAAATATTCTTGGGGGGCTTGAGGATGCACTCCAGTGTGAAGGCCCTAGGTTCAATCTGAATGCTCTCAAGAACTTCGCTGGGGACCAAGACTGAGTGGTCAAATTCACTAGTTAGCGAAGACAATGGTAACCTTTTGGTCATAGAAATTAGTTCAGAGCTTAGAATGAGAAGTTCGGAGGCAGTTGGTTTATTTGTTGGTTTCACCAGTTTCTTCCCCTGTTCCAGCCCTCTGCCACGTCATGTCCCATTTTTCTCTCAATTCCAGACTCTGCCTGGCCCGTTAGGAAGCCAATCGTTCAGAGCAGGCAAATACGTCCAAACAGAGACGAAAGCGCTCAGACTGCTCTGTCGTGCCACCGTGCGACGGAACGCATGAGTGAGTGGTCAGGCCCAAAGCGGAGAGAAGGCAAGGCCAGGGCAGGCACAAAAGCGCTGTGCTCCCCCCGCATCCGAAAGGTAAAGCGCCATAATTTTTAACTTTAGAAGTAAACGGGGGCTGGGGAGATGGCTCAGTGGTCTAAAGCACCTACTTAGAACAAGCTTAGCAAAGCACAGGGACCACGGTTCAATCCCCAGCACCACATGCCAGCCAGCCCCGCCCCCCTGGTGGGCTGAGCTGGCCACACACACACACACACACACAAATAAATAAATAAATAAAATTAAAAAAAAAAAAAAGAAGTAAACGTATTGTAATGTGCGGCTTTCCACTTTCTGCCTACACACACACACACACACACACACCCCTCTTTGGCTTCCATCTCAATCCACCACCACCACCGCACCAGCCCCGTGGCCCTAGAGAAGTGGTCTTCACACTAAGCTACATTCCCAGCTCCCATTTATTAATTTTAATATGGAGACAGGGTGTTGCTCAGTTGGCCGTGCTGGGCTCAGATGTGCAGTCCACCCCTCAGCCTCCCACAGCGCTGGGCGTGCAGGGACACAGCAGTGACGGCACAGCCAGCTCCATCTCAGTGCTCAGTCACATCTCAAACTCTGAATGGTAATTTTCCAAAGCTGTCTGTTAGGAGAAGAGCTAGAAATTTCTTCTCTCTTAGTGGTCACGTAAATGCTGCCTTCTGCAGCCCAAGTATTAACTGTCATGTGCTGTAACTTTTCCACACCTGATTGGTGTGCTATTAGAAAAATTACTGTAATTCATTCATTCACTCACTCCTTTATGCCCTCCAAACATACTTATTAAAGTCCCCCTGTGTTCTTGGTATTAAGGTAATACTGTAATTATGAAAAGAAAAAAACTTACATTGGAGTAGAAATTTCAAATGGACCTACAGTTATGTCAGACTCTTTGAGCTGTATAGAGACTATATACTGCAGGAGAATCAAGAAAAATACAAAATCCTCCGCTACGACCAACGGGCCACAGAGAGCAAACCTTGGAGGGGACATTAGCAGCAGTTCCAGGCTGCTCGTTCGAGGGACAAATCAGCTTCGGAGGGGAGTGGGACCCGGCAGCTGGCTGAGTCAGCATCTCATGGGGTGGGGTACAGAGATTGCTGTCTGCACCTGCAAATTGGACTTCCTTGGAAAAGGAAAAGAGGAGGATATGCGTAGCTATCTCAGGGCTGAGCCTGACATCAGAGCAGAACTTCCACCCCCATCCCAGGCAATGCAGCGGCCTGTTCTCCAGGGGGTGCTCAGCCAAGATCACACAGCTCCCTGCGGCCAGGACAGTGGTGACACTGCAATTCTGACCTTTTGAGACAGGGTCTCGCTATGCAGCTTAGCTTGGCCTTGCACTCACTGCGTAGCCCAGGCTGGCCTAGAGCTCCTGGGGATCCTCCTGCCTCAGCCACCTAAGTGCTAGGATTACAGTGCTGGGTTTACAGGTGTGTGTCACCATACCCAGCCAATTCTGACACTTCTGTCGCTTTAAACAATGCAGGAGCTTTGGAATCAAGCAAACTCAGGTTCATATCTGGACTTCAGACCCCCACAGTGGGATGCAAGGCATGGCCAGAGTGACTGCCGGCCTCCTGCAGGGACACAGGGTCTTTCTGCCTCCACCCTGGGGCTAGAGTAACCACCCCACAGTCACTATCATCATGCTGAGATAGCTGCAGTTGGTCATCTAGCCTGCCAAAGATTGTGTTAAAGATCATCACAATAAAGATATGGTAAACTTTCACATCCAGAGATATTAACACACTTTTGGTAAAGAGGGCTTGGGAGACAAAGCCGTGTGTTACAGTCATGGGGGTCCACACAAAACACGGCAAAGAGATTAGTGACAAAGGGGACCTCTGGTCAGCAAGAGAAGCAGATGGACAGTTCTGCCCCTGCAAACTGATTTGTCATGATGCTTCCTGGCCCTTTAATTAGGATGCTGGCCACATAGCGCCCCTCCCCCACACCCCAGTGCAGCACGTGGCAAACGTGAGCCTTCACTTTGCCTTACTTGTTGAAGCACAAGGTGCACATTTGTTTAAACAGAAAGGAAAGGGAAAGACCAGTTTCGCGGCCCATGCGCTGTGTCAGTCTCATGAGGGTCCATCTCTTCACATTTAAAACCGTGGCCTAGCGGACCTTGGCGTTAACGGATTACTCTTCCCGGTATCATGTGTATGCAAGTTGTACTTGTGAGTTTCAAAGAAAATTATACTTTTTCATATTATTTAGGTCACCTAGAAGACAAATAGGGTGTGATTAAAATACATTAATTTTTTGAGCTGGCGAGATAGCTCAGCAGAATAAGTGCCTGCTTAGGCAAGTGCAGGGACCAGGTTCTGTCCCCAACACCCCATGCCATAGTGGCTCTGCCCCCAGGTGCGCCGAGCCAGCCACCAAGACCAGACATGGTGGGGCACACCCGTAATCCCAGCGGCAGGGAGGCTGAGTCAGGAGGATCAGACTGAGTCGAGCTGCATAGTGAGATCCTGTGCCAAATACATTTTTAAAAGTACATTCGTTTCTTAATACAATCTAGGAAAAAATGTACCATAGTGACCTTGAATGATCAGCATACATACATCAGGTCTCAGTTTCCCTTCTATACACAGGAAACAAGAATGTGTCACTAATGTTTGCTGTGGTCTGTAAGGGAATAAGCCAGCGGCCATAGCAAGATATTGGTTAAAGTTTGTAACTTTTTTTTCTCCCCCGGGCTCAGATCTAAATGAGGCACCTGCCCAGTGGTGACAGCGGGAACCAAACCACCTGGCTGATCCTCCTGGGCTTTGGAGAACTGCAGCACCTGGGCTTCCTCTCCTTTGCCCTCTTTCTGGCCATCTACTTGGTGACAGTTGGCGGCAATATCCTCATCCTGCTGGCTGTGGCCTCCAGTCGGACGCTCCAAACACCCATGTACTTCTTCCTCTGCCACTTCTCCCTGCTAGAGATTGGCTATACCTCCAACATCATGCCTTGGCTACTGCAGAGTTTTCTGGGAGGGACAGAAGGCATCTCACTGATCAGCTGCCTCGTCCAGTTCTACATGTTTGCCTCACTAGCTGCAGCTGAATGCCTCCTGCTCTCTGCCATGTCCTATGACCGTTATTTGGCCATCTGCCATCCCCTTCGCTACCCTGCCCTCATGAGCACCTGCTTTTGTAGCTGCTTGGCTGCTGGTGCTTGGCTCAGTGGCTTCTGCTTCTCTGCCTTCATTCTGGCACTGGCAGCCCCTCTGTCCCTTTGTCCGGGCAGCAGGGAGATTGACCACTACTTCTGTGACTTTGCTCCAGTTGTAGAGCTGTTCTGCGGGAATGTGAGAATCATGTGGGGAACTGGAGTCAGTATCTCAGGCTTCCTGACCCTGGCCCCCTTGCTGTTGATTGTGACCTCCTACGCCTTCATACTGCGAGTGGTGCTGCAAATCCCTTCAGGCCACGGGAGCAGAAAGCCTTCTCCACCTGCTCCTCCCACCTTGGTGTGGTTGGAGTGTTTTATGGTACCCTCATGGTAGTCTATGTGGCCCCAACAGACCACATGGTCCCCCTGCTCCGAAAAGCCTTCTCTCTCCTCTACACTGTCCTGACTCCCATGGTCAACCCCATCATCTACAGCCTCAAGAACCAAGAGGTAAAGGGAGCTCTGCGCAGACTCTGGGGCCAGCTCACCCTAGCGCATGCTCCTCGGAGGGGGACAACACAGCCCTTGACTTCTGTCTCCGTTTCCATTTTTCCCATTGTAAATGGGTAGAGATTAAAACCATATGCCTAATACTGGGTCTAAAACCTACAAAGATTCCATAAATCATGGTTTTTAAAAATGAGTGGGTGGGCTGCGGAGATAGCTCAGGGGTCTAAGTGCCTGCGTGGCAAGTGCAAGGACCCAGGTTCAATACTCGGTACTGCATACTGAGTCCGCCCCCATGCTGTGCCTCAGCACCAAGACCAGGCACAGTGGCACATGCCCGTAATCCCAGCACTGGGGAGGCTGAGACAGGAGGAGCACTATAAGTCAGCTGCATGGTCAGACCCTGTACCAAATACATAAATAAATAAAGGAGTAAACATAAATAAGTAAAAGATTTTTTTTAACAAGTGGGTGATGGTAATCAGGGTAGAGAGTCCTCAACCATTCAACCCAGCTGTTCCCTTTCTAAGTATTTTTCCAGAAGAACAGAAAGCATCAGACCACAGCTATAAGTGTGCACCATGTTTATAGCGGCACAATTTGTCATGGCTAATCTTGGAAACAGCCCAAAAGCCCATCACCTGAGGAGTGATGTGGCATTTTTACACAGTGGAGTATTACTCAGATATAAAGAAGTAAATTTGAGGCTTTTATAGCTAAATAGATACAACTAGAGGCTGTACTCCTAAGTGAAATAAACCAAACCCACATGTGAGAACACTGTATTGTCTCCCTAGTGTAAGAACCTGACAGACTATGTAGAAAATCTGAAAGGTACAACAGATACAGTAAAAGGGAAAGAAACTGGGCAAAAGGGATAAACAATTCAGATAAGGGAAAGGAGAAAAGAAAGCAAAGGAAATAATCATGTATGTATATACACAGGGTTGCAGAGATGATTGTACTACTAATTTCTATCAGGTTTTTTAAGGTAGCAGTAAATGTTTAAAATTTTTACTGTGACCAGTTTTGCATGCTTATATTTGTAATCTGATCAACTACATTGAAGACTGCAATATGCAGTATAACAACCACTGTTGAATACCTATCATCTTGGTGTTTTTTGAAATTTTGTATCATTTATAATGTCTTATCTATTATTTTTCTATTCTCTTTAAAATGAAAAGTAAAAATAAGTAAAGCTGAGTGGATGAGACCCAAAAAGAAGGGAAGAGGGAGTAGGGTAGTAATTTCAAATGGGGAGCATTGCAGATTCCCAATCCAAGGTGGCCAGGTCTGCGGGAGGGAGAGTAGTGAGGGGAGACTGCACTGAGTACAAGAATTGAGGTAAATCCATGCTTGGTCGCAGCCTCAAATGGCATCTCAGAAATGAAAAAGCAAACACCTTAGACCTAAAGTCTGTAGAGGGGCTGGGAAAATGGCTCAGTAGAATAAGCACTTGCCTGGCAAGCACAAGGGCCTGAATTCAATCCCCGGTTCCACAAAAAA